TGCTGCTTTGATGTCTTGTTTGTTTTCTTTGTATTGCCCCCCTTCCCTATTGGTGTGTTAGCCACCCTGAGTCCCCCTGGGAATAGGGTGGCATACAAGTTTAATAAACTATAACTAAACTATAACTATAACTATAATCAAAGGTTGTGGAGAATAACAGGGCTAAGATACTGTGGGATTTCCAGATCCAGACAGGCAGGTAAGTACTGGCCAACCAACCAGACATCAAAGCAGCAGACAAAAAGCAAAAGACAGTAGTGATGATAGATGTACTGGTGCCAAGTGATAGCAACATCAGGAAGGAATATGAAGAGCTGGAAAAGTGCCAGGGCCTGAAGGAGGAACTAGAGAAGTTGCTGAAAGTAAGGGCCAAACTGGTCCTAATGATGATTAAGAACACTTGGGGCTATGACTCCTAAACTAGGAAACCTTTCCAGCAAATCCAGGAACAACACCAGTTATCTCTGCCCAAAAAAGTGCTTTTGCTAGGAAGAAATAAGATAACTGCACACAAGTCTCAAACTTCCAGGCCTCTGGCAGAAGATCCAAAATTGAGGAAGACACATACCATCCATTGGGGTAAGAAGGGAATTTCTGGCAAAATGATTTTTGTACTTTTTATTGCAAGACCATACTGAGCATCTGGAATACTCAGAATGACTAAACATTCCTATAGCATCAGTGTCTCTCTGTATAAGTATGTATTGTATTAAATGCATTTGTGAATATAGTTGCAAAGAATAATACATATAAAACCCATCCACTCTCCTTGTCTGGTTGGATTCACAACTTTTCTTGATGAGTTACTATAATATCATGGGAACATGGTCTTGTCATCTCAGGACTTTGATTTATTGTATCAGGTTTAGCTGGTGGGGCGCTTTTGTATTGAAAATATCTTTCCTTTCCTCAAGTTGCCATAGTATTTCCATAGCATTATAGTTTATATAATTTTCCTTCCTGTTTGATGTGTTCATATGAGAGTCCAACCCTGATTGTCATTTGTAACTTTCTACCAATGTTATGACATTATAGCAGGATGTTTAAAGCATCAAAACTGGTGCTTTGCAACACGTGGAAGCATGAATCGAGCACTTTTCTTCAAATTGTTCAACAGTCGGATGTATTTTTGTACATCTTCTGCTTCTGAAATGCAAAAGATGTCCTACTCTTGCACATATATACAATGAATTCATAAAAGATGCTTTGCAAAACACTGTTTGAATGAAGCATTCCTTCTTGCTTGGCTGCTTTCAAGATTGTCCCGCATGTATGTATGTGTGTGCAGAGGCAACATTTCTGCTGGGATTGGCAGTGGATCATTTCTGCATTTGCATACACATGTACAGACAGTGGAGGAAAGCCTTTGAAGCAGCCCTGTCAGCCTGTCAAAAGAGGTGGTTACTCCAAGGAGAGATGCTTTGCTTGTGCTTAATAGGATTTGTGAAACACTCCTTTTGATTGCTTTGCACACCCCTAAGTGTTATGTCAGCAGAAAGCTATATCGGCATGGCGAGGGATAGTCTCAGAGGGTTCATTACTATGGAAATGAGAAAATAGGGGCTTCCAGATCAGAAGATGATTTAAAGTTCAGAACTTTAAAGGGT